TTAAGAAGTGATTTTTGAGTTGATGGTAATATTAAAATAATTTGGGTAATTTTAATAGATATAGGTTAAATAGTTTCTTTAAGATTCCTTTTTTAAATATATTAGGAGGGCTTAGTTTTATTTGTATTATAAAAGCAATTATATTATATATAGTAACAAATGAGTGAATATTTTTCTATATATTTATATTTGGGTGATTAGATCAAAATATTAAATAGAAATCTTTAATATAGGAATTAATTTTTAGTGATAAGTTCGTAATAAAAGTATTTATAAATATATAATCATTTGTAAAGGAATTATTTATAATCTCTTTTGTTATTAGATTTAATAATAATAATCTATAGATATATTGATATTAGAAATTGTATTATCAAAAATAAAGAATTAATATTTAAATGGATTGAAAATTGGATAAAGGATTTCGATCCTCATAGTTCTTCGTCTTTTGGGTTTTTGATTAGAAAGAAATAGAATTTCATTTTTCTTGAATTGATTGATTGTGTATGTTAAAGGAGATAATCTTTTTAGTAATATTATTTCTTTTATGATGTAGGTATTTATAGTATTAGTAAAATAAGTATCTAAATTGCTTTTGTATTTTTTGTATATAATTTGGGTAGTATTATTAATGTGCTCATATTTTATACTTTCAGGTTGATTATTATAATTACTCAATATTAAAATAAAACTTATAGATTTTTGTGATTGATTAGTAGTGATTATTTGTTTTTGAATTTGGTTTTTTATTTTTAAAGTTTTTTTAGAGTATAGAACTTTGTGTGTATTATTACTTTCAGTGTTTCTGTATAAGCTTTCATTTTTTAAAAATATTTTCGAATTCTGTTTGTGTTGAGGTGTATTTGAAGTGTGTATAATGATATTAGTAAAATTAGTAATAGTGTGTGAAAAAATTATTATATTATTCTTTTAATTAATAATTATATTATTGATGTTGATTGTTTATTAAATATTGAGAGTTAATATAAATTGTTGTAGTTTTTGATTTGTATATATATTAATGATTTTATTTGATTAATTTATTTTATATATCCTTTCTTCAAGGAAAGTAATATTTTGAGTAATAATAATCTATTTAAGCTTGGGTATTTAGATATAATAGATTAGGAAATCTGATATATATCCAACGAGATATTTAATATTTGTTTTAGGATTAGTTTTATAAATTCTTTTATTTATATTTAGTTTTTTTTCTTTATTTAGAGAATATATTTTATATCTGTATTGATATATTCTACTCCAATTTGGATAGAGATTAACAGTTAAGTAATTTGTAATTGCTAGGGCAGATAATCATAGGTATTTTTGAAATTAAATATTTAGCATTTTATTTAAAGATTTGAATAATCGAGTTTTGAGAGAATTAATATTATATAAATAAATAACAATTTATACTACTTCAACCTATAAAAGATTAGATATATTTATAAAGATTTACATTTTAATCTATTTAATAATTATCTCTTATTCTGTTCATTCCAATCCACTATTTGATTTGTATATATTTAATAGAAATAATTCAAATTCTATATTTTTAGTTTTAATTCAATTTTCGAATACAGTATTTCCCATAATACCAATAACTAAAGTATTGTTATTCTGCTTAATATAAATTACCAAAAGACTATACTTTCTGAGTATTTAAGCGAGAAAGTTCTGGATTATATCAAACACTTCAAAATAAATCTTTTGATATAATGGAAAGCTAAAGATCTTTTTACTAAATATATCTTTAATAATTAGAAGTCAGAACACTCCTATATATATACATAAAAAGTCGAATAAGTCTTATTATATTTTGTAAAAAGAATGTAATAATCGAAATTTACTAAAAGCTTATAATATTATTTACTTTATATATATATATAAACAATTAATATATTTAATTCTAAAAAATCCTTTAATTTTTATATTCCTTATTGAAAAAACGAAATGTTTAAAAGCTTTTTTATTCAAATATTCTGATTGCTTATATCAGAATTGTACAGAATCCTTTTGAGATTTAAATGGATTTTTTGATTAGTAAAATAATCTTTTGATATTGAAATTGAGTATAAAACATATCAGAAAGTTTGGATTTATAGATATCATACTCAAATTAATCAAATAAAAGAAAAGTAATTTATATTCTAGAAATAAGAGATTATCTTTATAAATACAATAAGCAACAATATAACTATTCTCAAGATTGTTTTTTTATAATATAAAATCTATTTCTAAAAACTATATTTTAGTTTTTAAAAGCTTTATTTCCAAAACAATATTAATATAAAATCTAGGAATATATATAATATTAAAGAGAATCAAATCACCTTTTAAATCTTAAAATCTTTAAAGGATATTTTTAATTATATAAATATCTTATTTAATAATCTATATTTTTGATATTCCTATCTCAATATAATCTAATACTAATGAAAGTATATATTTATATTTATCAAAAAGATTGATATTATTAATAAGATATATTACATTATTGTTATCTAATATAATACTATCAAAAAGTTGATAAAATGAATTAAAAGTAATAGTATAAATCCTATAATTAATAAAATCTTGAATAAAATAGGTAATTATTCTTAATCCAGAATCTTACAAATTATAAAATTGAAAATCACCACTTTTTGAATTGATTTATTCTTTTTATTTTTAGATTTTACATATATTCAATTATCAATCGTCCTTGATTTTTTCTCATATATCATTACATTCCTTTTTTATCAATAAAATCAGATTCCAGAAATTATATTTCTTAGTGAATATAAACTTTATTGATTAATATATCTTAAAATAATAACTCCTATTCACTTTTCCATTTTTTCAATTAGATTTTGACCTATAAGAACATTTATATCAATCACTTACCCTTTTAGAACCTCTTTTCCAAGCATTACTTTGTTTTCCTTACAAATTATTAGAATTCTGCTTAAATTCAAAATTGATAATTAAGAATATACCCTTACCTTTAAAAACTAAAGAATCCTAATAAACTAAATTATCAAAAATATTCCCAAATTATTTCAAAAAATAATTGGGAATTTCGAGTTGATTATTAATTTCAATCTAAATAAACATAATACTTACCCAAATAGAAAGCATACATACTCCCATAGCTTATAGAAAATTGATAATTACTAAATCATTTTCTATTTTAACATAATACGATTTTGTGATTATATAAGCTCTAATCTATTTATTATACCACTTAATTAAATCGATTCAACCTACAATTACTTACTAAAGAATATTTCGATATTCTTAAACAATAACAGATTTTGTAATTATTATAATAAATATAAGCTTATCCTATAACTTCTAAATAATCATTTTAAATAATAAGGCTTTAGTATTATCATTTTCAAAAATAAATTTTATAAAATAAGATATATCCACTATTTCCATAATCTATTCATAAATATTCTGATATAATTTATATATAATATTATATTTATCTCTTTAATATTAATATTCTTTTTGAAATATAAAATGCTTAATTAAGATATCTTGAAAAATGATTATTTTAGACCTTACAGACTTAAGCATTAACTTCTTAAAGGATAATGATAAAATTATTTTAATATCTCCTTTCAAATCTTTTTATTAAAATTATTCATAAATATCAAAATTAAAAAAGTACTTTACTTGATTATTCAAATTATATTTTCTTATAAAATCGATAATCATAATAAATTCAAATAAATCCTTAATAAACTAATTTTTGTTATAAATATAGATTAATTAATGAAGAGTTTTTTTATTTTTCAAGAATTCTTCAAAACTAATTGAAATAATCAAAATAGATTTGGAATCAAATAGTTTGATATTCTTCCAGATATTTTTCGATATACAAAAATATTATAGATTTAAAAACTATTTTAATTAATATTTACAGATAATAAGTCAAGTAACTTCTAAAGAATTGAATTTCGATATAACAAAGTTATAAAGAGGTATAAAAGAAAGTATATATAAATCAAAGTGATTAAAAGATGTATATATATAATAAGAGTGTAATATAAATACCAACTGGGCTTATAACTATTATAAAGATAATAACTATATCTAATAATCACTTTAATCTGGAAATAGATATATAGAATAATAATAAACTAAATTGACTTAAAATATAATCCTAATAATCATATCTACTTTATATACCCTGATCGAACGAGGTACTCATCTAATTAGATATATAAAGCATATAAATGAAATAAATGAAATAATATTAATAATTATAGGAATGAGTATTCTGAAGGAGTACCGGGATTAGTACTTATAAGATTATACTATACGGTGAATTCCGTAACAAATAAATAGAAAAGAATATATATAAATCTAACTATAATAATATTAATTATTCTTAGAATATAGAGCTATTCCAAATCTAATATTCAATAATTCAGGAGTTTATATTGATAATTTATAAATCTCAATTTTCAAAAAGAGTTTATTTGCTATAGTAAAATCTATATCGACATTTATTATATATATTAAATCGAATAATTATATATTTTAGATTTGAATATTTATAAATTAGATTATATCAATTATTAAAAGAAGATTTCTCTAAATAATTTATATTAATAAATTTATAAAGCTTTTATTAATAAAATTCGATTTTATTAATATTAATAATATAATTAAAAAAAAAGGAGATAAAGATAAAATTGAAAACATTAATTATTAATCATTTAACAATTCTAATCTATAAGTTTATAAAAGTCTTCCGATTAGCCCTAAAAGTATTAGCTCTTCCTAGTGCATAACTAATATTCCAAAAGAATACGGTACTGAGTTGAATTCTTTTTTTCTTTATATATACTACTAAATTCTAAATAAGGTTTAACTCAGGCAGAAATCTATTTTGGGGGTTTATAACAAATACGCGTTATCGGCCTCGGTAACCAGCCACTCCGATCGAATTATTTCGGCCGAAAATTATTTTTATAGGAACTACCTCCAAGTTAATGTTCTCTGTGCTAGAATCAAATGAGGCTCTTATTACCGATTCGGGGTTTAAATATGTGGCGCTCTTACATGACTTTCAAGTTTGACTAGAGATTTCATGCATGAAAATGCTTGTAATGCGTTCATACTTGAGAATTGGTACTATAGTATTTACTCATTGATGCTGATACCTACCTCCTATCAGAGTAAGCCGTCTCACTTGTACCTGACGATGCTGTTCTATGCCCGTTACCAAGTGGGGAGAGTCCGACCGCTAGCTCAAAGTAGAACGATGGTTTTGGCTTTAATGGCTATTATGCCCCTAAAGTCCGTTGAGAGATACTATATCATCTTCGTTCGTTCACTTTATACTAGACAAACAAACAAGATTGTACAGAAAAGGTTATACTTCTCTATCTCATTCCGTACTTCTAATATAAAATCAAGATGCCTACTCCAACAAGTGCAATTAAGGTTGTCTTTGGGTCAATGACCATCGGTAGACCAGGTATATATCTTCCCCTTTGAACTCCTTCAACTCAAGCTCATCATTCTCTTCTTAGGTGATGGAATCCGTATCACAACCGTTGAAGGCGCCCAGAAGATCTTCGATGTATTCCAAGCACATGGGCATTCAGAGGTCGACTCTGCTCGTGTCTATGGCGGCGGTTCGAGCGAAGAAAGACTCGCAGAAATAGATTGGCAATCACGTGGCCTCATTATGCAAACCAAGCTCTATCCCACCAAGCGAGCAATGTCATGGCTCACAAAAGATACATACTCTCTCTCTGCTGCCGATGTCCGTCGTGGTTTCGAAGACAGCATGAAAGCCCTGAACACAGATCGTATAGAGATGTTCTATCTCCACGGTCCCGACCGCAGCACCCCCCTCGAAGATACCCTTAGTGAAGTCAACAAACTCCACCAAGAAGGAAGATTCGAGCGTTTTGGAATTTCCAACTTTACTTCCTGGGAAGTAGCTCGAATCTGCGACATTGCCGAGAAAAACGGCTGGGTAAAACCATCTGTCTACCAGGGTCTTTACAACACCTTCAATCGTTCCGTAGAAGCAGAACTTATTCCCTGTCTCCGCTTTTACAACATGTCTCTCTACGCATTCCAACCACTAGCCGGTGGTTTCCTCACCTCGAAATACCATCGCGATCAAACCGAATACGAAGCTGGTTCCCGCTTCGATCCTTCCAAGCCACAAGGACAATTGCATCACGGTCGCTACATTAATGATCGAAATCTCTACGCATTGGAGGATATTCTTCGACCTGTGATCAAGAAATATGGACTTACCGAGGCGGAATGTGGATTGAGGTGGATGGCGCATCACTCTTCCATGAAGAAGGAATTGAATGATGCTGTGATTGTGGGAGCTAGTAGTCCCGAGCAGTTGGAGCAAAATTTGAAGGATTTGGAGAAGGGAGAATTGCCGGAAGAGGTAGTAGAGGCGTTGGAGAAGTGCTGGAAACACATCTCCGGAGTTTACAAGTATTTTCATTAGAGGATTATGGGGTATGGCAAGCGCTTGAAATTCCACTCGAATGCCGATGTATAGAATTGTAGAGACCGAACAAACATCCAGGAAAATTTAATGTCTGAATAAATCTGAGATAATAGTTGGTTGTGCTTTAGAATTTCTCGGCTAAATGTGAATAGTTTGCAGGGTTTTCTCTCCAAGTCAATATTTGTCTCAATTTTCAATTCATGGACTTTATTGATATCACTTTGTCGGTGTATGATCAAAGTATGGAGTTGTCCCGACGCCCAGATGTATGAATATTAAATCTTAGGAGTATGATGTTTGAATTTCAAGGATTTAATCGGGGTTCTTCTGAGACATCAAACGATGCCGAAGGTATTTACAGCGTTACATCGAAATCTCGTTCGAGATATTCAGTTTTTGATATCTTGGCATGTACTCATCAACAGAATATAGAAAGCGACAAACATACGTGAGTCGGCCGGCATCAATTGATCTAGACTTCATCATTAATAAACTTAATCAAAATAGAAGATAACCCCCATTATCCAAAATTATAGATAACATCCGCCTACCAATGCAGTGTAACATATGGGGTAGACGGGATCCACCAAGTTTCCCGAACACCCACACGGAAAACTTGTCATCGTGCGGAGCTTAGTTTTCCGTGCCCCGCATCAAGTTTTCCGAGATATCGAGCATCCAGCTTGTAAAGAGCGCGAAGGAAATAGATTGTCAATGGAATCAGACCACCGTGGGACTTATTGCAGCTGTTATCGTTGCTATCGTAAGTTCTGGGCGATACGAATGTGTCATGTGAAAACCTTCTGATAGGTGGTGCGAGATGAATAGGAGAAAATATATGATGATTACTTTACTATATAAGAGCTGCCGTTTCCTGTGTGAAAGGTATACAATTCCGATTTTCTCATGATTTATCCAAATTGAAGACTCAAACTTCATCTTCTACACTTACAACTTACGAATTACTACGATAAAGATGTCGCAATCCCAAGCCTCTGCAACGCTGGTACCTGCCTCGGAGAGTGTACCTCTCTACCAGGACGTCGATGGTAAAGCCATGAGAGAGAACGCAAACTCATCTCTCATAAGATATGGAGGAAATTTCTCATCTGAGATCATTGTAGGAGCAGAAGGAGTTTACATCTACACTGCCGATGGTAGAAAGATACTAGATTTTACTTCCGGACAAATGAGCTGTCTCATTGGCCATGGACATCCTGAAATTGTTGAGGCAATCACTGCACATGCTGCAAAACTGGATCATTTATTCAGTGGCATGCTAAGCCCGCCTGTGGTAGAACTCGCACAAAAGTTGACGTTTTTGACACCACCCGGACTTGATCGTGCTATGTTTCTCAATACTGGAGCTGAGTCAAATGAAGCTGCTATCAAAATGGCTAAATTGTATACTGGAAAGTATGAGATAGTTGGCTTGGGGGGGAGTTGGCATGGAATGACGGGAAGTGCGACTGCATCAACCTACCACTCTGGGAGAACGGGTTATGGCCCTTGCGTAGGTCCACTGCTGTATGGATTTGCATAGAATGGCAATGCTAACTGCAAAAAGATGCCAGGAAACCTCGTTCTACCATCTCCAAACGCATATCGTTCGATCTTCCGCCATGCAGATGGCTCATATGACTGGGAAACAGAGTTGAATTATGGGTGGAATTTGATTGATCAACAATCGACGGGGTCATTAGCTGCAGTCATTCTCGAACCTATCCTCAGTTCCGGAGGTATGCATGTCTTACCAAAAGGATATATGAAAGCGATGAAGAAACACTGCGAAAACCGCGGCATGCTTCTCATTGTCGACGAGGCACAAACGGCAATTGGTAGATGCGGTTCCATGTTTGCAATTGAGCACGATGAATGCACCCCCGATATTTTGACTCTCAGCAAGACATTGGGCAATGGACTTCCACTTGCAGCCGTTGTCACCTCGACGGAAATTGAAGAAACTTGCTTCGATCGCGGTTATCTTTTCTACACAACTCATGTAAATGACCCGTTACCTGCTGCTGTGGGAGCTAAGGTTCTGGATATTGTAGTCCGAGATAATCTTGTCGAGCGTTCTCGCGTAGCAGGCTTGAAGTTGAACGCTGAGTTGAAAAGATTACAGGAAAAGTATGGTTGTATTGGAGACGTTCGCGGTAGAGGTTTAATGGCAGGAGTGGAAATTGTAAAGGATCGAGCTACTAAAGAGCCAGCGCCGGAACTGGGAGCAGCATTGACAGAGAAACTAAGTGAACTCGGTTTATCTGCAAATCTATCGACAATGAAGTCGTTTGGTGGGGTGTTTCGTATAGCTCCTCCTATCACTATTACTGATGAAGAGTTGATGGCTGGACTTAGAATATTTGAGGAGGCGTTGAGGATTACTCCTGGTACAATGCCGATTGAGTAGATATAAGAGACCGAAAGTACCTATTCAAACTGCAAAACTCGTTACTTAATTCAAGCAAGCCTAATTACTCCAACTCTTTTGAAACATGTTGAATGCGCAAACGTTATGGAAATGCCTGTCAATGTAAATGAAGTGCATAGTCCAAGTCAATCCATATTCGATATACCTGATTTAATAATGTGTGTTCAAAATGTGACTTTTTTTGATCTAATCAACTTTTTGCTGAATCCTGTATTAAAATAATTTAATTGTTTTTAATTCAATTAATATAGTTCCAAATTGAAAAAATTCTATATTATAATATAGATTTTAATTGATAGAACATATGTATAAAATTTGAATAGATTTGATTAAGAATTTATCGAATTAGAGGTGATTGAATAAAAATTCAATTTTGAAAGTTTAAAAATCTAAAAACTATATCGAAAATTATAATTTCATTTAATTATTTTTAATTCAATGAATTTTTAATTAAAATGATTTATATTTTGTTTTTTGATTCTATCAATTGAGATTTATATTATAATATAGAGTTTTTTCAATTTGGAGTTATATTGATTGAATTGGATTTTCTATTTTCAAAAATTTGATTAGGTGATATTCGAAAAAGTGCTTTTTTTTTGGATCACCAGTGGGTGCACGGACTCACGGGACAACGTGACAGAAAAGCACAATTTCATATCCAAAAAAGTGATTTTAATAATTCGATTAAAATTCAACTTATTATCAGGTTCTTCTGAAATTGAGATATATGGTTTTTCAAGTATGAAAAAATGATTGAGTTATATGTAATCCAAAGAGATTAGGATTTGAGCTCAAAAAACGAATAGTGCGTTTTCGTACCAAAAAATTTGGTGGGGATTTATATATTCTTATATAAAAATATCAATATTAACTTTTTGGATTCAATTTTGAGATTATATGAAATTTTTATGCTTTAGATTTTTATATTCAATTTTCAAAGAAATTCATGGAAATTCTGAATTTTAATCGAATTATTAAAATCGCTCTTTTTGGTGGGAAATTGTGCTTTCCCTCTTCAGTGTCCCATGAGTCCGTGCACCCACTGGTGGATATACGTTATTAAATCGGGTGTATTGTACCGATTCCTCTAACCTTACCTCACTTCGGAAAACTGAACCATCCTACCATTTTTGATATCTAGACACAAATTCCTTCGGACAACTGGTAACACTAACCATTTTGGGTGATCAACCGTGTTTTTACAAGTGGTTTACAGCAATAAGATTCATTACACCAATGGATCCTCCCTTCACGTTGAATGAATCCCGACCATATCGGTCCCACAAAATTCCAGCCTGCGATCAATGTCGAAAGCGTAAGTTAAGATGTGAAGCCGACTCATCAAATGGTCCATGTCGTATTTGTCGGGAGCAAGGTGCCGATTGTGTTAGGTCGGAAGCCTCCAGAACGAGAAAACACACCACCCCAAACACCAAAAAACACACCACCCCAAACACAAATAGCATAGAAGTGCCTTCAGTGCGTTCATTGAAACGTCCCAGAATCCTTGCTCCAAGCCCTTCTACTTCTCTGAGACTTGAAACCCGTTTCCCAGGAGATAGTACCGCGGAGCAATCTGGTCTTCAAAGTCCCGACTATAGTCGACAGGAAAGGCCAAGTGTCAACGACAAGTCTTCTATGATTATCGGTCCCATCATTGCAGAGGATGTCCAATTACTGGAGCAATATATGGAATCTCAAGCTCGCCCTGACAGATCTAAAAGGGGACGCTTATATGACACTGTATCGGACAATCCCAAAGATCCCGTGATTTATCTCAGCGTTTCTCGACGAAGAGAAGGGCTCTCTTCAAGTGAGCGAGCAGGTGAAAAACAGAAGGAAATTTTGGAACAAATCCTAGGGCCAAATGTCAGAGAAGTTGTTAATCTGTATGGTTCATGCCAATATCTCATTGCGTATGCTGAATATTTCTCAGTTACTTTCGCCATATTCATCCTAGCTTTCCTATCATTGACGAGCACAATTTCAACCAATTATACTCCAAGGGCGATAAAAGCTTATCACCCGCACTTATTTGTGATATATTAGCTTCATCTTTGGTATACTGGAGGCATTCCCCAAACCTCAAACGATTTCCGGTTCCAGACCAGCGATATTGCTGGAATCTGGCCGTAGAATCACTTCAAGGAGATTTTCTCGCGCCAGGTCTCTCGACCCTTTATGCAGCGCTCCTTGATTTGTCTGGGCGACCTGTTGTCTCGATTACAGGCAATACGCTTACTAGTGGAAGATCTGTTGCTCTCGCTCATAGTCTAGGGTTAAATCGTGATCCTAGCAGATGGAGAATATCCGATCATGAAAAGAGTCTACGAACTCGTCTTTGGTGGGGTGTTTTAATCCATGATCGCTGGTGAGTATCATGTTTCACATTACAAATGATCACAATTTCCTACTAAAACAATCCTCTAGGTCGAGCTTCGCCCATGGTGTACCTGCGCACATCCGAAGAAATGAATATGATGTCCCGCTGCCTACACTCGAGGGACTCCTCACAGAAGGCAATCACCAAACTTCACGCGTCCGCCCAGCAGAATGCTTCATCTTACTCTGCACGCTGACCGAAGTTCTTGGCGATATCCTTCCACTCCTGTATGATCGCCGATGCAGACCAATCACCGAAACCAACAAACTCTTGCGGCAACTCGAAACCAATCTTGACGAATGGGAAGATTCTCTTCCACAATGGGCGACGAGCAAATCTAACGCCGAGAAAGTCTCGGGTCTCAGCAGCCTACGTCTCGGATTTCTCTCGGTCAAAATGCTACTTTGCCGTATAGCCTTTCATGCAAGTTCACTATCCACACTTACATAAAGTTGAATACTAATCACCACACAGAGTACAACGCATTCTCCCGAGCCATGTCTAAAAGAAGTCAAAACATACCACCAAGCAATGCTGCGCGAGTGCGCAAGAGCGATAACAACCTTCCTCTCTTCTCTAACCGAACAGAATCTCCACGAATTCTGGATGCCATGTACGTCGTACTCTCCCTCTCACTGTACCAATAACTAAACCCATGGAAGATAGCGCATACCACATCTGTTCCGCAACCATCATCCTCCTTCGCTGCGCCATCGACACCACTGATATCGAAACCGCCGAGTCGTGCAAATCTAGTCTGTCCGAAGTAAAGCAATGGTTGGATTGGGCACACACTTCTCATCGTTGGGATCTCGCCGAAATATGTCTCGCGCAATGCGCAGAACCGATTGAACGATTGAACGTGTCATCGCGTGCAACGGCAACGAATGTTCGAGAAAATAGGACTGAACAGCCGGGTATGGGAGTCGTAGGTGAAAGTATAGGGGATCCCACAAATGTACCCTTTCTCGCGGATACCGAGAGCTTGATGAATGGACTTGAGTATCCATTTGTTGACCTGTGGGATATGTTTGAGCAGGAATATTGATAAAGATTAGGCCCTATGCCTCAAAACAAAATTGATCTGCATGACATTGAATACATCCATCATTATATCAATATGTTCCATTAGTTAGTTCTTCATTAGGTTCACTCATTTCAATCAGCAAATTCAAGGGACAGAAAGAATCTGTAATACAGGTTTGTTTGTATTAAGTCGCTGCCAAGGCTACATACATACTTGTTAAAGTTGCAATATTGCACCTCCAGAAAACTAAAATACCAGCCGATGTTTCTATCAAGATTATTCGTATCGCGTAAAGCAATAACTTCTAGGTAGAATGGGTATGAGTCGTAAAGTTACTTTTGAAAATTTCCCAACTCCATGAACTCCAACCAATGCTCCCCCAACCATACGCAACCATTTCAAAATCATCCAACGGAAGAAATTGTCAAGTCATCAAATTTTAATTTAAAGACTCAACTCAACTGCCTTGCTAGACTTGATCTGGCTAGACCATTCTGCAAGAGCAGCTTCAACCTCTCCACCAGGTCCACAGTACTTCTCAACCGAGTGTGCACTACGGCCAATAAAGTTCTTTGGGTCCATCATGTTGTCAAGATCAGCCCAGACTGGTTCAAAGTACTTGGTGGCCTTGATACGGTCGATCAAGTCGTTCTTACCACCTTGCTTCTTGACAACGTCAGAAGCTTGGTGAGAAAGGACACGGATCTCTTCATGAGCCTCTTGTCTCGATCCTCCATTGGCAACAATTCTCATGATGATGACTTCTGTAGCCATGAAAGGCAATTCCTCCATGACACGAGAGTGGATACGGTTTGGGTAAACAACGAAGCCAGAGACAACGTTATCCATAGCCATGCAGACAGCGTCAGCTGAGAGGAACATCTCGGGGATGGTGATACGGCGGATGGCAGAGTCATCGAGTGTTCTCTCGAACCATTGAGCAGCGTATGTATCGTTGGCGTTCTTGTTGAGGTTGGCAAGATGACGACCAAGAGCTGCAATACGCTCGGATCTCATTGGGTTGCGCTTGTAAGCCATGGCAGATGAACCAATTTGATCCTTCTCAAATGGCTCTTCCAACTCCTTCAAGTTGGCAAGATGACGAATGTCACTTGAGATTCTCTGGGCAGTAGCACCAAAGCTGGAAAGAGCATTGGCGATTCTGAGATCAACCTTGCGGGAATAGGTTTGAGTGCTGATAGCGTAACAGCTTGGGAAGCCAGCCTTCTCGCAAAGGATTTCATTGAGCTGGTCGATCTTGGCACCATCGCCCTTGAAGATCTCCATGAAACTGGCTTGTGTACCAGTTGTACCTTGGGCACCACGGTAACCTATATTCAGAAAGAATCAGCAAATGCCCAGGTAGGTGAGAGCAAATCAAGCTCAAGTTGGAGAAATATCAGAAAGACTTACGAAGATCAGCTCTAACTCTCTTGATGTCCTCCAAATCCATGAGAAGATCTTGAACCCATTGAGATGCACGACGACCAACAGTGATCAATTGAGCAGGTTGGAAATGAGTGTAGCCCAAGGTAGGTAAATCCTTGAACTCAAGAGCAAATTGAGACAACTTGTGAATGATAGTGGCCAATTTTGGAAGGATCAAATCGAGAGCATCACGCTGGAAGATGAGATCGGCATTGTCGGTGCAGTAGCAGGAAGTGGCACCATAGTGAATGATACCAGCAGCCTTTGGAGCAACTTGGCCAAATGCGTGAACATGTGCCATACTGAGTATAAGGAGTTAGCAAATGCATTTTTCAAATTGAAGAAGTGAGAATTTGGAGAACTTACACATCATGACGACGCTTCTTCTCCTCCTCAGCAGCAACCTCGAAGTCCTTATCGGTCATGATTCTGTTCTCCTTCATTTGTTGAATACCCTCAGCACTGATATCCAAACCCAATTCTTTCTCGGCTTCAGCAAGATCGATCCAAAGAGTTCTCCATGTTGAAGCACGGTTGCGAGCAGAGAAGATCTCCTTCATCTCCTTGCCTGTGAGAGTAAAATGGTTAGCATTGAGTCTTTAAATATGATTGAACAAAGATATTAATTGTCAAATATGAAATTCAACTGAGGGAAGAGAAGAGCGCATTGTGAGATGCAGTCAATGGACTCGAGAGGAAGAATACACTTGGGTTTGTGATTTTATCAATCAACTGCTGGGGAGAGATCTGATACTTACTTGCATAACGCGAAGTCAAGGGAGTTTGATAGATATCGTTGGCAGACATCTTGAATAGATTATCCCAAAGATCTTGGTATATTCTGAGTGATTTGATGTTTCTGTCTTGTGAAAAGAGGTTTCCAGGAATTGGAGAGGTAGTTGTTTGGAGATAAGAATTGAAAGAGCGTATTTAAATACGCGGGGCAGACAAAATTAATAAATTTGTGGAGGGGAAAAAATGATGCTGGAGTCACCAGCGGCCGCTTTGTCCCGTTCCGAGACACCAAACTAGTAGTTTTTAGGGCAATTTTTCAACCAGGATGTTAGATTGGATTCGGTGCACGGGCTGAAAAATGCTGTTGAGAGAAATTCTTGTCTAGTGAATGCCCGAAGATCTTCCACTGACCTACCAGTTTCTGTATACAAACAAAGAGTGATAATATATATAAGACTACCTGGTAATCATACAGAAAAAGAGGCTGTGTTGACTTTGAAAGGATTGTTCATCAAGTGAATGATATTATGTATATGATCATTCTGAATCTCAACAACTTGGAAAGCCAATACCTGTCAAGGTGCTTCGAGAATGAAATCAAACTCTACATCTACACGTGCCCATTGACACACAAGCAGTTCCAAACTTGAGTATATTGACTCTAGATTCACTCCGACCTTGTTGACTGAAAGTACATCAAGCCTTCCCATACCTACCTATTGAGTATTCCAAGGTTGTCCCAAAAGAATACCTCACAGCACTGGTGATATAGTCCTTCCGTCCGACTACGGAGCGTTTCAACCTCTCGTCCTCATTATCGTTAAAAAGTTCCTCTCCCCTATTTATGCCGACAAAGAGCGAACTATCGAGTGATGACCATAAATAAATCTGAATATGATTGGTCAATGGTTTGGTTGATGTCGTGATTTTCTTGATCTGCAACTGGTGGAAAATCTCCACAATATTGATGTTGAGCTATTTCTCCATTTCACATGACTTTAGAAAATATCTGATCATAATTCTTCGCCTTGTTGACTTTGAAGAGTGACCAGAAGTGAATTGTTCACAAGGACCATCAAGAAACTTTTCTTTCCTTCCGTTGAGGTCTTAAATTTGCATGTCATGTCAGTGGACAATAAGATCCTTCTTGAGCAGATCAGCACCCTTGTCTGGTGGAGATTTGCATGCTTTCAAGGAGCCTGCATAGTGCCAGGTGAATGATATCTGTGTGTTGAGTGACACTACTCATGTATCTATAGTCCAGATTCACTTCTGGGCTTATAAAAAGTCACAAAAAGTCACAAGGGACAAAACAGAGGTCCAAGATATGGATCGCTGCTTCAAAAGTACAATTTGCACACAAATGAACAGCAAAAAATTGCATGATTGAATTGCCCTTCACACCAAACAACCATCAAGAAGTCTGGTGAGATTTGTGAAAAACTTGTGTGTGAAAACTGGTTATCCAGACCTCTAGAAAAGAAGGAGTAATTGTTACGAAGCGTGGAAAGAACAAGTCTGCTCCCGTCACATATTTTGGATATCAACTGTGAAGTACCTTTTTGACGCAAAGACAAGTATCTTTGATGGCAGGATAATATTCAAAACATGATGCCCAACAATTGGCTTGAGCCAAAATGAATCTTAACTGAATGGAAAACATTGATTTCTACAGAACAATAAATCAAATCCATACTACTGTTGAAGAGATGGCTCCTTCTTGATGTGTTACTCTTGTAATCGTTCCAGAAGTCCAGAAACCCATTTAGAAGGAGTCCCTCAAACAGAGAAGAAATCAAGAGAAAGAACGCTCCGAACGCTGAATTTTCTGTTTCTCAATGAAAGTAAGAGCCACGATGGTCATTCTTTCCAAATTTGAATATTCCAAAGTGTTCAGGGAGGCACAAAGCTCTCATTTCCCTCTCATTTCCTCAAAACTCTGGAGATACTGTATCCATTTCCCACATCAAGCCGCAAAAGTTGTGACTCCGACGTTGAACTGGATCTCAGCCACGATACAAAACCCCACAATCTTCATATCTCATTTGGTTCTTTGCCCCGGGCAATCAATACATTTCGAATATAAGAGAAATCAGGTTGATTTTCTGCTTTCCTTGTAGTGGTAAGTGAAGTGGTATTCAAGTCTGCCCATTATTTTCTAGGGGCGGCTTGGCAGGTACTCCAATACGGCCGATTCAATGATTCAAGGTAGGTCACAAGATTTCATTTTATATATTGATTAAGATTATTTTCAAGATACAGAAGATATCCATTATCAAGTCTCCCAGTGGCACCGACTCTCCAGACTCCCATAACAAATCCTTGCCATTGTATAATCTTCCCTAAATCAAAGTTCTGCATATCTTTTGAAATCCCTTTTGCTGTTATCCATCGTTGTCCGTATATTTATTCAAGAGGTAGAAGAAATCATTATTATCAGCTCTCTACCACGTAACCAGTTTTTATAGAACCCTCTCCGCGATATTAGAGGTCGTCGAAAATTATCGATAAGATGCCGAAGAAGTTTGAAACTTTGCCATACAAAAATATATGCGATATCTCCAATACCATCGCTTCATCGCAGTAAACTGACATCAAGGTGTATGCCGAGTTTCAGGAAGGATCTTAGAAGATGTCGACTTATACAAATGGTAGTAGATTAAGAACGGCCAAAGGAGTGAAGGCATCAGCGATTCTTGATTTGGGCACTTGGACTCGCGGGTTAGGTTTCGGGACGTATTTTTGAGACTCAGGGAAGTGTTCTCTCCATATCTTGTCATCAAGCTTTTGCCCAAGTTCTTTCCAAGTAGTGATTGTGAGTTCCATGCGACAATGTAGATTTGGAATACAGTCTCGCACGTGAACGAAACGAATTAAAAATTCAGTCCGGCACTCGACACAATGTTCAATCTCACTTGTCTCTTCTTTGACTTTCTTCCAGTATAGCCACCATAAACTCTCAGGATATTTGCGGCGTACGTATCTAACTTGATCCCGGCTCGTTGGGCAAATCCGGGGACGAATATGCATCGAATTCGAATAGCATTGAATATGGGCACATATATCGACGCGTAGCCGTATCACTTCCCCACATTTTCCTTGGAAAACCCTATGTTGGCGGACTAATGTAGAACCGCTATTCTTAACGAATGTAATCTCATCCTTCTGGAAACCACAAGATTCACTACCTTCGCGGATAATATTCCAAGACACGTCTCTCTCGACAGTCCAGGGAAAATCATCTCGGTTATAGGGGGCAAAGAAGCAGATGTGGTGATGTAGATCCCGGGCTAGATATGCTGCAGCCATCTCATTGATGCGATATGATCTACTCAACATTTTCCTTTGGTCAACCGAAAGGTTTGAAAGTTTCTGAAGAATCCTGCCGGCGCCTTTTGCGGGGCTTGAACGTTGCAGAGCACAAGACATATCGCAGCAACCATTCAAGGTCATATTCTTAATATCATATTGCATTATCCTTTGAAATAACAAGTTCTCGTGGCGCGTTAGATTGACTATGTATTGAGATCCGATGATGCCATAGATCGTTTTGCACGAAATGGAGAATAGCGCGGCCGATGCGATATCCAAGTTGTCAGCAATCTGTTGGATCAATTCTTTAGGGAAATACTCAAACGATGAGTTTGTTAATGCGTTTCGTTTGTGAGCAAAGTGTATTCTTAGAAATCGAACGACGGCGGAACGTATCCTAAAATGATCCATCTTGGTTGGAGCTGGGTGTTGTGGGAATCGATGATGTTGTAAAAGAGACACATTTCAGGAAAAGGTCTGGACAGTGTGTAATGTAACTGTTCAGAAGAAGAGTGTCATTACTTAGCCTACCTAGGTAGCGCATGTGATTCCCCAGACTTGATTACACATTAGTGCAATGGAGATCTTCAAGTACCGGTAGGTAAATAAATACATCATGTAGGCTTCGCTTAGTCATTTTAGAGTAACCTTGCGTGCTTTCCCCCTCTTTTATGCGGGGGTAAAAATGATCATTGTCCCTAGGTGGTTAAGGAATAAGGCAGTATATGAGTTCTTTTATTCTGCAAAGTAACAAACTTTGAATTCTTCAATATAAACTCGATGGTTTCTTACACAGTTGCACGTCAAAAAGGTATTCAGTTCAGGTTACCGGACAATACTGAATTTTCGTTTAATTTAAAGCCATACAAAAACCGACACAAAACCGGCACAATTACAGTAGATACGATAGATTTGCTAGTATGAACCCCAACACAGAACTGAAATGTCAAATGTTCTTATTACTTTCTGAAGGCCGAGGATAATTTCATTTTGGAGCAATATTCGTACGTTGATCGGGAGAATGTGTTGGCTTTGTGCAGGATTACTTGTAAACCTCACAGCTATCTTAAGGAATTTTGTGCTCTGAGAATTTTATGTTCACTCGCATATAGCTTCTTACTTAAATGGAATCATTATGTCTTCACCATCTTATTTATATTGAGGAAAATGAGTTATCGCGGTCTCGTGATTCAAGACTTCAGTACAATTCTCGAACTGCACTCTTATGTTTGAAAGTTAGACGACAGTGTCGATGATTCTATCCTAGCTAGGTATGTGAGTTGGCAGAATCCAAGGTCAAAATATCTTTGATTCACTCACATTGATAGTTTATCTCTGTTTTGATCACACGGCAGAGTGAATGTGTCGGCGACCCATAATAATTTATCAAGATGACCGTATCCAACTCTTGAACTATATTTATTGTTCACACTGTGGCCTTTTCAAAGATCACTAAACACCGGTGATCGGGGTGCTGCTCTATTTTCTTATAGTCGTAACATGATAAACTGCTATTGTCCTAGAAAGAGGTACATTTGTTACTACTTTGTTGATACATCCCGTCTTCGACCTACCAGACGTTAAATTCGGCCTCTTTGGCTTTGTTCCTGAATTCACTACCCAACCGGAAGCCAGTTTTCAACAGTAACAGTGAGTATCTCCATTTTGGTCGAGTCCCAGCCAATCATACCTCTATATACCTAACACTTTGCCAAGTATCAGGTCCTCGAAGCCCTCTACCAAATGTGTGTCCTATACTACACCATGTATAGCTGTTTCCCCAGCTGCAAGACGGGAACCAAACAACCATTGGAACTAGAACGTTGTGGACTCTTCCGCGAGATCGAAGATCTGCCAGTAGACACCAACAGATGTAGCGAAGCAAGGGGTCGAAATGGCCAAAAGACTGAATCTAAGATGTTGAGACTTAAGCAACGCTGCCCTGCATGTGTCACAAAAGCAATAGCGACAAGAGTAGCAGAGAGGAAGGCGAGAGAAGAAAAAGAAAGGAAGGCGGAGAGAAACGGGGAGAGAGGGGAGGTTCTAAGACAGTTGAGAATGGAGGAGGATGAAGAGGAAGAGACTCCTAGATTCAGTCAACACCAGTTCACTGACGCCAACTTTGCTCTTCATACTTGTAATCCTGACAAGAAGTTGGTCTGGTTTCTTGAACCAGACGAGCTAGTAGCAGACATGGAAGACGAATTGAGAAATGGAGCAAGTTTCCAAAAAATCGTGGAATCTATGGCTATGAAGGCAGAACTCTCTCTTCGATATCAGGATCAAAATCCGCGCCGACTTACCAATCCTGACGATTCACTATTCCCCATGACTACCATCACAGCCACTATTAATAATAATCAAGACAAACTCCCAAGCCTCGAAGACATTTTCACGACCCCACTATCTCCCATGTCTACGCTGCTAAGCGACACAGCGTCTGGAGAAGGGCCTCCAAAATTGCTTGGTGACACTGAAGGAAATTTTGGCTTGGGCATTTATTTCTAAACGCTTGAAAGCGTGGAGATGAAAGCAATTGCAAACATTCAAGCTTTTCAAGGTAGTGGGGGTAAAATCGTTTAGCGTCCATCAGAGTGTTCCACAGTTTGGAACTAGCTGTCTTCATGTAAGCTTGAAATATTAAGCCTTCCAATATCCGAAATGAATTTGAGATTTCAACCCAATAGAATATTCGAATTAACATATTGGAAGCATCTGAATGTCAAACTGCAGCCCGGACCATCGAAAACGGTAGGACCCATCATACTTGGGGAGATGATGGGGAAATGTGGCAGAATATAAGTAGGCAGATATGAGAACTCGGGGTTGCACAGCAAAATTCCAAGAGATAATTAAACCACTAGTGTCGTTACAATAAAGTCAGAGCTGTTGTTCGTAATATTACTACTTGGATACTACGCGATCGGAAGTCTTCAAATGATCTCACTGGGGTGTGAAAACCCTTGTGGTCCAATCCCCAGAAGCAATTCTATGAAGGAGTTAGGAAAGCCTTTATACATTGAAAGGTTTGTCAAAAGAGTTCCTTTGGGTCAGAATAGAAGAGAGGTATATGAATACTCGGTCATGATTTGCCCACGAAAGATTGAGTTGAAGGGCCGACGCTTTGTCGAAATGAGATGATATTTTTCAAATTGAAGTTTATTTTGAAGACAATGGCGCAGTCCTGGAGATTGCCGAAGCTAGGTAGTTAGAAGAAATGCAAAAACCCTCATAGAAATGCTTAAAGCTTAACACGGTTATGAGTTTTCCCAAACATCGTTTGCTGTCGATAGCAGCATGAAGAGGCCAATCAGGAGCCGAAAGAATGTCTAACAGGCGTAAGGAAGAAAATTGAAAAGATCTACAATTTCAGGAAAAGGACAAGGACGCAGGCGACTGATAGAAAGGGCACGGCTTTCAAGAAACATTGAGTTGATGATGTGGTTCGGTGAGACTTGTTTTCCTCATCCTCGGCAAGTGAAGGGGTCGGAAGGAAGAAAGCTGTGAACAGTAAAGTACCGATGAATATTTGAAATTGGATCCGATTAATGAAGTTAAAGTTGGTCCCGAGACGAATGACATGTGTGAATTCGAAATTGTGATAATACATGACTTTTTTCATAGGTTTACTTTGCTTATCTACCTATTCAGAAAGTCTTGAGCAGAGCAGCAGCACCTAAGCTCCTAAGGTTCTTCTTGACCCGATACGGGTAAATTACGGGGTAATTGACGCCGCTTTTAGATGATGCTTTCGCATAGGCAATACTTCGGACGCCGCTCTATTTTAAAATTATGATCAATAAGATCCTCTGTCCACGTCCCACTGTTCCTCCCTAAATGCTTTCCAACGACATCATATCGTAAGGTTTGACCCATATCAACAAGATACCCTGAGAGCCTGATAAGTATTATCTTGGTGGATGTCTTCATAGCCGAGAACACGACGTCTTTCAAACACAAGACAACTTTCCCTCGCTCTTATTGCTTCCTCTCGCACGAAAGGCCATGTGGGCACCGCGTCGATTCTCTATGAACACTGCAGAGAATTCACAGAGGATTGAGCTTTTAAGACGAAAAACACAAATCAATCGATAAATTGATGGGATTGCCGTCCCCGGACCCTCACGTCCCATATCTCACGGCACCACTATAAGCTTAATATCCTAAGCTCCGGTCGTCTGGCCTTCACTAAGACATACTAGTCGTTGATCCTCCGGGAGAGAAACATCCCGAACGCCTCTAGTTACATGCGTAGGTCAAGTTCCTTTGACATTTACTTTCCTTACTTTTGGTAATATACCTTTATTTCTACTTTACTTTCTCCTATTTTTCTATACCTGCGTGATAGCATCACAAGGTTCTCTTTATTTTCGAGAGAAACCCATTGTTTACAACACGAAGGAGACACTGTGAGACACGACGGGTAGGATTTGAGACGAACACGACGATCGAAATTTTACACGAACGAACGAATCCTTGTCTCGATATGGCTTGATCGTTTCGAAGATCGGATGAATAATTGAATAGTCTTGACACAAGATACACAAGTACCTAGAGACTTGGGACGAATTTTGTGCCTGCGGAAAATCCGGAGAACCTTCGAAACAAACCATCAAAGCCGCGACATTGAATCAGACGCAGGAAACTCATTGCGCATTATCTATCATCGTCACAACTAGAAATCCTCTACAGAATGCTCTGTACAAACAGACCCGAGGGCTTCGTACGTCCCAATACATTTCCCTTCAGCTCCGCATCCACTGACAGTTTTTCCAGGGCCCAGCCTCCCACCTCAATTCCTCAACCCTCCCCACAACTTGTTTCACAGACGTTATCCTCATTCCCCTTCCAACTTGGCTCGCTCTCGCCTTCGTACCTATCCTCTTTGCTCTAGGGCTACACCACCGCAAAATCAACTATAACCCCTCCACCGCACACTTGCGCTCCAATACCCGCTCCTCATGTCTCTACCTCATCTTCCTTATCATTTACTACTTCCTCATTTTTGCAAACATCGCCTTGCTTACTCTCGAAATCGTGCGGTTGACTAACCTTCACTATGGCATTGGTTTATTGCCATTCGCCTATGCCGGAATCCTTCTCTCAGCTGCTTTGTTTTGGAGTGAAGGAATACAACGACGTGTGAGGTGGTGGCAGGGAATAAATATGTTGATTTGGATAGGAGGAATCGTCATGAGTGCTGTGCAGGTCATTGGATTGAAACAACAATATGGCTACGATGGGAGAAAGGAGAGCAAATATCCAGTTAGCGACCAGATTCTTGACGTAGCTGTCATGGCGGGTGTATATGCCGTTATTGCGCTACTGGAGGTGGTGCTGGTAGTATGGAGGAGGAAGAGAAGAACATCGGCCTTGAGGTCGGAGAGAGGAGAAATGGGTGCGTTTGAATATGGGAGAGGTGTGAGTGAGAGCTCTGGCATGAAGGAGTGAATTATTGTTTCAGACCTAGAGACATCTTTAAGGTGATCTTATACTTGTACTTCCTGCAATTGGTTTGATTGGTTTGGCGTGTTGGAATGAATACATTGGGACTATTCTATTGGAATATGGTCATGGTATACCCTGGGTACTTTACTTTTCACAAACTGTTGGGAAAAATGTAAATACGCCTCGTATCTATTTACTACCACTAAGCTTATTGTATGTGTGCATTGCCTCTCGATCAATTAGTGATGAATCTTCATCCATTGACTTGCAGAACAGCAATTGCCACATGATTCTACTGCCAGAACGGAATGCAAGAGTAAGTGGATTTCCGAGACAGGCGCGTGGAGGCTTCAGGCTTTTGAAAAGTATCAGCGCTGACAGGTTCAGCCTTGCTACGTCCTACACAGACGCACTAAAATATGCCATACTTTCGCACACATGGGGCGGCGACGAGATCACTTTCCAGTATTTGGTAAGTGGTCCGGGGTCGAGATCGAATGGTTTGGAAATAATCGTGTGCCCAGACAAACGCAGCCAGCCAATTTCTCACGATATCTCCAGCTAACCCTTGTATTCCTAGCAGCTAGGTGCTGATCAATTCCAGATCTTGCATTTGAAGCCTGGAGTACAGTAGTAGGAGGCACCGTTGTTGGCGAGGTCTCTAAAGCATAGCGCACGTTCAAATCTATTTGAGGAAAGTCTGTTTGAGATCCGGTGGTATCACATGTGGGATTTGAAAAGATTGAATTTGACTTTTGGATTCTGTTGCTATGTATCGTACCAAAATATATATATACAGATGTGCTATGAGAGATTTTTACACCAATGACTATATAAACCTTGTGGGAAATACTGCCTAGACTAGCCGTATAACGTGTGTATTTACATACTATTATGTTTCAATAGACTGATGTGAACGAACAAGCCGTGGACCAATTCATACCGAAGGAAATCGATGAAACGCTCAGCATTTGGGGGTGTATTAGGTTAAGACTCTAAGCAAAGCCGGTGCTGACAACAAAGCTTACGTCGTCGTTGAACGAGGCGGCAACATCGAAGGTGTGAACTCCACCGTTGTTAGCAGCGTAAAGTACATTGTTGTAGTGACGGAAATAGCGAGTAGGGTAACTCCAAGCTCTGATCGAGCTACCTTGGCCATTAAGACCAGCTTGTGGGCAGAATGTGGCATCTTCGCGGAACGCCTTGGAGCCGTCATTGGCATTGAGCAGAAGTCCGAAGTTGTAGTGTCTGATATAGCTGCCGGGGGTATCGTTTGACTCAAAGGAGAAACAGGCGCTGTTTGCAAGACCGGCGCGAACATACCAGCTAGCTTGCTTTTTGAGCGCGGTGGTGCTGGATGACGAAACGACTTGAGTGTTCACGCTGGCCCCGGTGTGTGCAATGTAGCGTGTTGTGTACCCGGCGGTAGTAGCCCGAAGAGAGATCGAGTTACCAACGGTGAGAGCAGTTCCGCTGGTCAATGATGTGGTAGCATATTTAGCAGCTACGATGTTGGCTTGAACCGAGTTCTCGGTGGCATCAGAAGGATAACCAGTGGTCATCACACCCTCGTAGAAGGTTCCCTGAGCGCCTACGCTGTTGTCTCCGCCGATTCCGAGAATGATAGCACCTTCTTTGCTCATTGGGTTATATCCACTAGCACTTGGGCGCGCACCACTGTAGTACGTCGACAGAGCCCCAGATGCAGCGTTGGCACCTCGAAGGGCCCACAAGTTTGGTCCTCCCTTGACGATTGCAGTGAAGAAACGGGAGGTGATCGATGGATCTCCAGTGTTGACACTAGCGCTCTTACCAGAGAACAAGCCGTTCTCAAGATCGGCCATGAGCCAAGGACCGCTGCCGGACCCTGATCCCCAAACAGTATTGTCACCAAAGTAGATGGCTTCCATGTGACCGTTACCAGTGTCAGTACTGCTAGTCTCTGCGTTACCGTAATCGAAACAGCAGCCACCATTGTAGTGCGTTCCATCGAGAACTGCGTACATACCCTCCGCTGCATCAGCTTTGGCTATTCCGCTAGGGGCATTATTGCGATAGCCTGTTCCGGGCGAAATGAAGACTCCGTATGCTTTTTGACCGTTGAGTGTGACTGGTGCGCCAATTGCTGAGGCCAAGTTATCGTAACCGTTCACGTCAGGACCGTCAAATCCTCCAGGAGGAGCTTGGGTGAGGTGGTTACCACGACCAGACTGATCGTAGATTATTGTGATGAGACAAGTGGTGTTAGCGCAGAAAGTGTCTTGAGAAGCAGCGTTGGCCACTCCTCCTGCAGCTAGAGGTGCAATGTTTTTAGTTGTTCCATCTGAGCCACGTTTCACCTAGTACATCGAAGAGTCAGTAATTGTTTACCAAAGACTATGATGTTGAGCATCTAATTGCTTACCTGGTAAAGCGAGCCACTGAAAGCACTGTACAAAGCGCGAGTAGTACTATGTGCGGCAACTGTAAGATTGAAGGGTCAGCCATCGGGAATCTTTACAACGTAACAAGATCTGAAGGAATCAATTGAAGGCTTACCACACGGAGTTCCACCAGAGGAGTAGATATCGCAGGGTCCAGCGGCAACGAGAGGGCTAGCGGCAACAAGGCCTAGAGCAAGTGCGCGAGCGCGTTGAAGTCTTTGACGTGAAAACATATCTAATCACTTTGATGGCGGAACGACGATGTGAGGCACGCTTGAAAGTTCTCAGGTCATTAACGAGAAGCTTAGATGGCCACTAACGTAGAACTGAAAACTGTAAGGTCGGCGTCTTGGGTGCCTTTTATTATCTTCATCAACTTTGTGAAGCTTAGCTTGCATGCTCCTGATTGGTACGCATACCATGCACCTACCTAGTCGTATTGATAATTACTCTTAAGGTAGCCACTCATCGGAATTTCCGAGGACCAATAGTCATATGGAACTTTTTATTCCACCTCTGATGCTCGCGGAACAAGTATTATACGCGTCACGAGGTCTGACTTGTACAGTGCTAAAGAAACAACAGCAGCAGTTTGATGGAGAACTCGGGTCATCCCGAATGCACCCCGCAGAACTAATCATAGGTATTGCCAGTAGAATATGTGTGCTGTGTCCACAATTAGTGGAGGAAATGCCCGCCACTTCAATGACCCGTGCCAGGTTTAATTAGAACAAATATGTGTTATTAGTTAGTTCTCCGAACTAACTCAGCGGATCTTGTAGCTGCAGATGTTTATATCCAATACCGGATCCCAAGACCTGCAGGTATAAAGATATTCCATGCGCTCCAATCGGCAGCACATAGGTTGATCTTGGTAATTAGATCTGCGGGGTAAGCCAGAGTGTTTAAGAATTGTGATTAACCCAATATTGAAATCCGGGGCCCCAGGTCGGCAATAAACTGCCGAATCGAGCTGCCCGTCCCGTTGTGCATGTGAAAGGTGTGCTCGCTTAAGCACTGGTCTGGGGGGTACCCACTTCTAATTGTAACCATAGCCTGATGGAATAATTCGGCAGATGCAGGTACGTGTAACTGTCAATTAGAAGTATAATGTGTTTTCGGAGGCCTTGATTGGCCCTCATATAGTGGGAAAATAGCGAGAGAAAAGCTTGATGTTCACAAGACTACGTTAAGCCGTCGACCTCTATCATCCCGAGGCACACCGATCTAATCGATGTTGTCTTGTCTGCGATCCAATAAATACCGATGTTGTTTGCCTAATAGTTTCATGTACAGTGTGCCTTGGAACTAAAAGAACTTTTTATCTCGATACTTAGGATGTTTGTCCCGAAAACATTGCGAAGTCTAGAAGATTAACTCTTTGGTCAATGAGAAAAAGGACATAAGCGTTGCTGCGTTACGAACGCAAACATCGATCGTATTTGAATACGGTCTGACCATATATCGACTTGCTTTATCTACGGAGTATACTCCGTGAAAGATGATCCTGCGGCAGATGTAAAAAAACCCTCAGAGAGGATGTTGAAATACGAAGAGTGGAGCAGAGAGGAGAAGAGAGGAGAGTGGCTCGAGTGGAGCATCACTAGTCTACCACGTGATAGGACAGCATGGCTTGCTGCTTTTATTTTCGATAAGATCCAGCGCCAGCGGGTAGATGACAACGCAGCAACATCTTACTCCGGAACACCGAATTTCTGGAGAGAGCTCTCCTGGCGTTGTCCGTAATATCAAGCGGCTCCACTCAAATGAACAACAACTACTTCAGAATTTGAATCTAGAATGCCAAGCCGATAATTGGATAATTCACCGCGGGAGACAAATTATGAAGCTAATAAACAGGATTATGATGCGCAAGAGACTGCAGCAAGAGAAGAATTATGAGCAACTTCAACAACATCAGAGCACGGGCGACGTAACATTAGACAACCACGAACGAGAAGGTGATAACAACCGTTTGGAAGATAACCATACGCTGCTACATTATGCGCAAGGTAAGGATTTGACACAAAGATCATGTAAAACCTGTTCGGTATTACATCCGTTTGACCCAACCAAGTTAAAACCTGGGAATCGATATATCGGAGTGTTTATGATAAGGAAAACAGCAGCAGAAGGCTGCGAGCTGTGTTCAATCCTCTTGAAAATTGCAACTTACAAAGTGGAATGTGCGACTTTCTTGAAATTTTCTTTCCAATATGGCTACTTAGCTGCGGTAGTTTCTTTGGATGGGAAGGAATCTCCCCAGAGAGAGTACTGTGTCAGCCTCCGCACCTTGCCTGGTAAGACCGCCTCGTCAATTCTGCAATAACTTACATTGGGAATTCTATAACTGAAACTCCAAGGTCAACCTTCACCATGGCCTTGCTTTGCACCCCAGCAACATATTCCTCCGCGAGTTGAGATGTGGAATGCAATTTGCCATATCAAAAAGTGGCTCAGCCAGTGCGTGAGCCTTGATAGTCCCGCTCTTATAGGCCATCAATGCCACGAAGTCAGCGAACTTATCATGCCAGTGCTACCTACTCGTGTGCTAGATGTTAGTCGGGTTGGCCCTGATGGTAAAGTTTACTTGGTTCACAGCAATGGAAAACGCCAAAAGTACACAACCCTAAGTCACTGTTGGGGCGATGCAAACCATGCGCCTATTACGACCTCAAAGGCCACCGTATCCGATAGAGCATCTGGGATTGTTCTTGACTCTTTACCAAAAACATTCCGAGATGCTGTAGTTATCACCTACCACCTGAACATAAACTATATATGGATTGATTCACTTTGCATCATCCAAGATAGTGAAGAAGATTGGAATTTAGAAGCTTCCAGGATGGCACAGATTTACTCTTCTAGTTTCTTGAATATAGCTGCAACTGCTTGCAAGGACAGTACCGTCGGCCTTTTCTATGACGGCTGGAATGAGGAGGATGGATTCTTGGGGACCCCGCGTGAGATTCGGTGGTCAGGAAGTACTTCAAATCATGGCGATTATTCGATATATATGCAGGAGATAGATCACAGCCACTTTCACGATTCCGAACTACGTATAGAAGGTCCTCTGGTAGGCGTTTCAGAAGGGCATGCAGAAGAGTTAGGCTAACATTGTCCAGATGTCCCGAGCGTGGGCATATCAAGAACGTTTCCTGGCACCTCGAACTGTACACTTCACATCAGCAGAAATGATCTGGGAATGCAGCAGCATGGTCGTTTGTATATGCCCGTGTGATCTTCATTTTGGCCTTGATACAGTACCAAGGTATCACAACTATAGCCACCGAGAGAAAAAAGATCAATGGTTCGGACAGTGGGGCATAGTTGATGAATATTCCAAGCTCAATCTCAGTAAGCCAGCAGATCGGCTCCCAGCTATTGCAGGGATTGCGTCTCATTTCGACAGCCATGAACGTAGGATAAAGAATGGGAAATCGACAACATCGCGCTATTTTGCTGGTCTTTGGGAAGACAACCTGCATCATGATTTGCTGTGGCGTGTGATCTTTCCGGAGAATGAACCTCGTGAGGTAGTTCGGATTGTCCCATACAATGCGCCCACGTGGTCATGGGCTTCTCTGGATTCAAAATTTATACCAAGTGGGAAGCCAGGTCAGGGTGTTAACATCGGGAATCACTACAGTACTGGTGGTATAGCCCCCGATTTTAAAATTTTGGATTGCTATACAACTCTAATCGATCCGTCTAATATATACGGTGGTGTTAAAAGTGGAAAGATTGTTTTGCAGGGAAGATCCGTTACACCAACAAAAGTAGAATTATTCTACGAGGAATTCCAATGTTACAAATTTTTCTTCCATGATATCAAAGCAAAGCGTCGAGCGATAAAAGACAATCAAAATTTTGGGAAGTTGATGGCAGATGCCCCACTGGCGTTGTCAAAAATTATCAAAGATAGAGTCGATTGTGGAGAATTACATTGCCTGTGGATCAATTCATTCCAAGGTGTTAGGCGTAATGATCACCGTCATTTAGCACTAGTTTTGAGGCAATCAGAAACTTCAGAGGTATATGAGAGAGTGGGTATTGCCACGTTTGATAAAGGTGGTATAGCAGTCGGTGGTGGAATCGGTGATTCTACTTTTGTTAAATTTATGGAATCTATTTGGACTAAAAGTGGCATCCAAACATTCGAGGTTGTCTAAATCGAGGCGAATACTTCAGATACGCGCCATGCATTCAGAAAGTCTATGAGACTCCGATTGGAGATCGGTCTGCTACGATTATATGATTATACTCGGAAGAAAGACACACTACGACACTGGCCAGCTAACTTGGCCATTTGAACGGGATTTTTGTCGCAGTCAAATGAGTGACGACGCCGCGGTGGCAGATTGTTTCTCAAAGAACGTTGAATTGAATCAACTAGAAATAGCACGCTATCTAAGAAAATCCTCATTGTTGTAGCAAATGATTGATCTCTCCAGCTTGATCCGCCTGTTTAGGGTCTGTTAGACAATGACAAAATACCCTAGGTCCGAGAGTCTATCTTTGATACTATTATTTTAAGGGCTAGATTTAGTTAACGAAGAAATATGAAGAATAATCAACTGCTCATCCGAAATCTATATATTTAGAATCTACCAAGTGTCACCTTCATCATTCTCTCCAGAGAAAAAATGTTGCTCGTCTACGATAGACAATCGACAAAAGACTCACTCCTCTTTGCGAACAGATGCAAAGGACATGTAACTAAATCCAAATACTGATTCGAGACTATCAGTACAACATATATTTGAGTAGTTCTTCCAAAAAACACTCCTTCCCATGGCTTAGTTATGGAGTTGCGCGCCCCTTCTCAGGAACACAACTACTTGCATATGCACCCAGACCAGCATCGAATGTAAACTCTGTGTCTAGTCTATTACCTGGCTATTCGATATAATAATGAGATATACTCAAATAATGCAATTCCCTGCATCATTACTAATTAATCATCAGCGTTTGTGGTTTAGTGGTAAAATCCATCGTTGCCATCTATCTCTACCTTCATAGGAAGAGTCCGAAACAACTTCGATGGGCCCCGGGTTCGATTCCCGGCGAACGCAATAATGTTTTGCCTTTTCAATCTTCATATGTTTTTGAAAGATTGTGTTTTGTTGTCAAATTTTGAAGTTGTGGTGGGTTCAAACTTGTGAAGCTTTGGTGATAGTGGGGTAGTGTGGGGTGATTGTGGTTTTTTTCTGGAATGATAAGTGAGCACAGATAGATTTGTTTTTTGATATAACCTTGAGAACTTCATTTGTTCTGAGAATCTGCAACATCTTGTTGATGGAGAAGTCAAGATGGATTTTTTTGGACAGTGTTGGGGGGCAGCTCTCTGTACATGGTGAGATGGTACCTCGGAGATGGAGGATCTTTGGATTTTCTCGCTCTGTTGACCAATGATTATTGCAGTCAGTGGCTTACAATGTAACATGTACCATAAACCCCGGCTCTATAATCATTTCCTTCCATCCTCCAATTCTTGAGAGAAGCGATACAGATATGCGATAACTTACATAAATCCATTCTTTGATCCTTGGCATGAGTTTATTTCCATCTTCAATACCATCATCATCTTCGAATCCCTTACACGCTTCTTCCTCGAGTAACCACATAGAATATGCCTTCAAAGTGGACAGAGGCACACAAGTCAACTAATGGACCGGGCGATGCACGTCCAACCGCCTTGCAGATTGTACAGGATGAGGATCTAACAGGCAAACTCACTGGAAAAACCATCCTGGTCACCGGTTGCTCCTCAGGAATTGGGGTCGAAACTGCCAGAGCTCTGTCTACCACGGGTGCGACATTGTATCTAACTGCACGGGACATCACCACTGCTGAAAAAGCACTCGAGGATATCTTGGAGCCCGGCCGAGTGGAGATTCTGGAAATGGATCTCAGCTCATTAGCTGGGGTGAGATTGGGCGCGGAGAAATTTCTAAGAAAAAGCTCTAGATTGAACATTTTAGTGTGTAATGCTGGAATCATGGCGATTCCAAATTATAACACAACTGTGGATGGGTTCGAGATGCAATTTGGGGTTAACCATTTGGCACATTTTCTACTTTTTCAACTGCTGAAGGATACATTACTATCTTCTGCTTCTCCATCATTTAATTCGCGGGTGGTTATGGTATCCAGCGCCAGCCATCGTAATGGGGGTATCAGACTCGATGATTACAACTACACCAAAAGACCAGAAGAGTATGACTTATGGGGTTCGTACTCGCAATCAAAGACAGCCAACATCTACATGGCCAATGAGATTGATCGTCGCTATGGTCATCAAGGGTTACATGCAACGTCGCTGATGCCGGGAGCAATACCGTCTGGCATTAGTAGACATCTTGACCCGAAAGACGTAGCGGAGTACAATGCCACAGAGATAATGAGGAAAACGATGAAAAGTCCAGAGCAAGGTGCTGCGACGACAGTGTTGGCTGCGATTGGAAAGGAGTTTGAGAATAAAGGCGGGGTGTACCTAGAGAATTGCGAAGTTGCAGGACTCTATCCTTCTGATCGTCAGCTCGATCATGTTGCTAATATCCCGGGATATGTGGAGCATGCTTTTGACAAAGAAAAAGAAGGTAGGCTTTGGCTGGACTCTTTGAAGATGGTCGGGTTGGATGAGTGAGAGTTTGAAAACCCAGTATCATGTATGGTATCAGGGTGTTCAATTGTTCACTTTGGTAGATGCTAAACTGTGCATAATACACTCATTTTTTCCTAAGCAGCAAAAAATCTAATGAATTTATTTACTCGAGGGATATAGAACTAAAAGCAGATGGTTATGATACCAAAGTTTGGGCTCTTGACATCCCTGTATCTCTATTTCCCAGAGTATTCGATGGTCCGAGCAGTAATTCAACGATATAAGATTCTGGTGATTTTAAGTATCTAAAAGTGATTCGAAATTCGAAAATTGTTCAGCATTTCAATCGAATTTATTCTCTCAAATGATTTACTTGATTATTCTAATTTATTTGAGAATTTGATCATCTTTATTATACCAGACTATTAGACACCTTGTTCTTTCACCTACACCAATAAAGCAGAATTATAACTTCCTTCAATTTCTCCCCGCTGTAATCTCTAACAGACTCGAAAGTTCCGAGTCTAGTGCTATTAACATCACACTCGCATCAGAATCCATCGTTTAAGTTCTAGCTATCTTGACACCAGTTTGTTCCTTGCCGACGATGTTGCTCCGGAAGATGAAATTAGATTACTCCCTAGGTTGTTGTATTTCGTGAAATATTAGGAATATCATATGAATTTTCATGAATCATGTCTATATTGAGTGTTTTTAGCGAGAAGTTTATCCGAAGATGAGTGTCGTAGATAGTGTTCGTTGCCTGAATTATGTACGATGCCAGTACAATAGTGACAATATCACTGCAAGACAAGCCAATTCCAGTTCATCCAGAAACACTTTTTGCCATGCAAGATAAAACTCACTCCAAGAAGTAAATGTAGGTCCAAAACCAGTATCATCCACTTCAAAGACAGAGCTGATTTTCTCTTTGGAGAACTCAATCGGTACGCTTTCTCCGTCGTCTGAACCTAAAAGTGGCAGATGCGTCTTCCAATCTGCCTCCGACTCGAACTGCTTGTAAACAACGATTGCCAGTGCCGTGGTGCAGCGAGAGATAGGGTATCGATTATGGTGCTTCAATTCAACTTTGAATACTGTTAGACAATACCGACACTGCAAAAGTCCCGAATGAATATCGCGGGAGATGTTGTTCTCGTTGGTGGCAGTGTATTTCTGACAAGGTAGTTGTAACGCTGACCAGATCTCTTCGGGTCTACTGTAGGCACAGTATAATCTGGCGCAGAGCTTAGAACCAACTTTCGCGAGATGAAGATGAGAGCAAATAGGTATATGACTAGGTATTTCAAGACTTTGGCATTTCCAATTGTATTTCATGAGTTTCCGGGTGAATATGGATCCATTCTTCATACGGCATTCTCCTTTCTTCTCTGTCCTCAAACTTTTGCAAGATCTATCATCGGAGTAGTTCTCGGGTGCCGACAAAAGCCTTAAGAGCCGCCTGGTTTGAGCATCGTTGCCAAAAAGTCGGTAGTGCTTTATTGCCATTTTGGAAATAGTGACACCAAAATTCTTGTGGGCATATAAACCCACCCGGCGCAATTCATCCTCTTTTACACAACTTGGTATTGTATCAAATTCTGGAAGTCCAGAAATCTCTGGGTCAGTTGAGTATCCTTCCCAGCAATAAGACTTTTTGGCATATCTCTCAGCATTTCGTATTTTATGAAGTTTTCTGCAAAAAGTACAAGCGATTTGATCTTGAAGATCATGTTCCAAAAGATTCAGAAATTCCAGTGTGTCGTCTTTCGAAGTCTTCAAGCCATCGATGTATTGCGTTCCAATCACCAAACCAATTTGTCGACAAGTGAGGAAAAAGGATCCAGCCGATGCAGGAGTAAAATGTTTAGCAATCATTTGCATAACATCGTTTGGAACTATGCGCAAGGGTGAGTTTTTTAAGGCATCTGATGGACTTGGCCTCGAGACGGCAAGATATCGATTGAATCGAAATGGATTTTGTCGAAAAAGAACAAGCTGGGATTCAATACTATCCATCTCGGAAATGGGTTTAGATATTATTGAAGTCGAAGATGTTGGGAGGGTTGATGTATTTTGAATGGATGGTGACAGAAGGGGGCTGAAGAGCGTCCTTATATGTGAGGATGTACTAGATAGCCGTATTTTGAGTTTCTTGACTAGAGATATTTAGTTGAGAATAAGCTGACTATCTTGGATCATTCATGTGTAGGTACAGCGGCAGTAGTGAATGCCACTTCCAAGAATTTTAATTAAATTTTGTCGAGACCACTCAAATTCTTATCCTGGAGATGGCCAAGATGATACTTTATCAATCTTAATTTTTAGTATTCACTTGTAAACAATCTTATTAATATTGGGTTCCATGTTAGAATCAGAATCAGAATCAGCATCGGGTAAACCCCTCCTATTTTTGAAAAAAGTCAACAGCTCCTTCCGGCCCCAAACGAGGCTATTCCGACTGAACCTTCCAAAATGTTAGTTATATGAGGTGAATAGCTCATTTGTTTAAGTAAATGACTTTAGAAATCAACTATATTTATATTGAGATGAGAGTCAGGACCCAAAGAAGCCTTTTCTCTCAGTCTTTGCAGAAGTCGGTCAAACACAGCCAGCTGGTATCATGCGTAAGTAGCTACGTATTCTATTAGTGATATTTTATGAATCTCAAGTGTTGATTATTTTTTATTCTACGCTGGAGTCTGCTCTATACTGTGTGTTATGAAAGGTTAAAGGCTTCGTCTGGGGGTGTTTGGATATGGATTGTTTGAATCATCGTTTGACCTTTGATAGCGAGAGGGGAAAGCAAAGGATATTAACAAGTTGTGTATTACTATCATCTTGTATCATACACGTCTTCTTTGTCGAGAAAGCATTTGTGCAATGTATCGCAAATTTTGAGTCAGACACGATCATCGCAACTCGGCTGCATGTTAATGTCTTGAAGAAATCAATCTGCCCTGTCCGTCTGCATTCGCAATAACTAAGGGCCGCTTTGCATTCTTGAAGCTCTGGATCAATGAGAGTCTTGACCAGAAGTACTTTTGATTCTTGGTTCTAGGTGATTGAGATGTCAACTAGTTATCAAAAACAGCTTCACTTCTTGATTCTCACAAGCACGAGCACGAGGAGTGTGAAGATCAAATCAGCTGAATTCATCATCTATATTAAGCTCCACAGTTTGCACCGCCCACTGCGGGTTGAGCTACGTGGAGACCTGCAAAAAATAGAAAATATTTCTGTCTACATGGGCATTGCAAGGAAACGAAGTACCGAAGGTTGTCATCGAGGACTGGCGTTGCTTGTACACCTTAAGTTCGACAGGTGTTCCAACCCAGAGCATGCGAAGTAGTACTTACAGCTTCAATTCATATAAGTAGAAACAGAACAGTAGGAAGAACAAACAGTATTGGAGGATAGTGATGACGGAAAGATTGTAAGATGAGACGATGAAAATAACAGATTGCTGTTGTCAATCTCATTTTTCGGGAGACGATGAGATAATAGACATAATTTTTGCACAATATTTCTCTCAACTAACAATGGTCGATTTAGTAGGAACGTTAACAAACATTTGAGCCTTCTCGCCAGGTCTTGGGTCCCAGGCCCTATAGCCAACCAGATGAGCATCTTTTCCCTGTTTGACCCCTCCAAACCTTGAATCTGGAAGGAGCTTAAATAATCATCAAGTGGGACGAAAGAGGAAGGAATTTTGCTAGCTTGTACTGGAGTAGTGAACCTTGAGCAGTAGGGTATTCAGTGGATTTTGTGGTATCAATAGATGGGGCGAGTGAGGGGAAACCATCGTTTGCTAAACTTACATAGTCGAATGGCAAAACGAGGCTATTTACTTCTTCCGAGCCCTCGGCTTCAAGCAGCTGCAGGAAGGTTATAAATAAATCCATAAACATCTTCCAGTCGACACAGTACGTGGTTTTGATTTGAAATTATACAAAAAATGCTCTGCGGGAGCGAAATTCCTTCGATATCTCTAATTCCAAGAAGAATGAGTGAGATTGATTATGCCAAAGTACTCGTGCTTTGAGTTTGGAAATTGATAGATATCTTCTCGTTTGGCAACGACAATAAAAGAATGAGAAGATATGACAGGAGGTTCTTGTTGTCGACAATAGACTTCGAATATCTATGGTGCTTGAGATGCTACTAACAGTACAAGAACCTTACAGTTTTGGGGCTCTGTTGACCTAGCTTTCACGTCATCGGAACAGAAAAACTCTTACAGAATTTTCAGATGGTAGTTCCCCAAGCCCTAAGGTCTATGTAATGATGGTAACAAAGATTCGAGGTATGGTCTTCGACCTCTGGAGCGTATTTTATATCCGAAGAATTACAAAGATTCACGATCGAGATAGTGAATACCAGTAAGGCGAGCCGGTATAGGTGGTGTCTCCGCCCGTGATATAGCTGTAGATACTTACTTCAAATCATCAGGTTCTCCACTGACTACAGTATTTCTGTATTCAAAATGCTCCAATTGCTTTAACGCAGATATGAACCACACACCAAAGCGGGTAGATATATATCAAAAACGAAGTGTACATTCCTTCGACAATACGAAATAGCATTATCTTAGCTCTAACATCTCGTGCTCTGTATTAAACACGAAATCGCTATAACACTATCAAAAAATGATACTGGAGCCAGACGATATCTTAAGTGAAGTGATCGACGGCGGAGTAAATTCGGCAGATGAGTTTGGGGAGGGAAGATTTGACGACAGCGAGAATACTATCCAAATACCATCATTTATAGTCAATTCTTCACAGACATTAACAATTAGATAGACGGCGCTCAAATTTGAAGAACAGCGCTTAAAAGTCATCGCTCAATGTAGTTTCTTAAGTCAGAAAAAAGCGCATGGAATTTTTCATAGTCATCACCCCCGAAGATTTTACATAAAATCGATATGGTTCATCTAGAGACAAAACAACACCTCTCAAGACCATATAGCAATATTTGTTTAGGATTGATATCACAATAATACAACCTCAAAATTTCCAACTCTCAATTTAACATTCCATTCATCTCACCCCCACCCAAGCCAAGCCAGCCAAGCCAGCCCCCCACGTCCCTCGCTTAAACTTTCTACTATCAAAATTCTCTTCGCCCCACTCTATAAACATACAATATATTCTCAATAAAAAGCCCTGCTTCCATCAATCATGTAAACATCCGGCATGGTGTAGTGGCTAGCATTTCCGCCTCTCATCCGAAGCTTTCGAGCTTCAATCAAGTCGCGGGAGACCGGGGTTCAATTCCCCGTACCGGAATATCTTTTTGTATTTTTTGGTGGAGCGGTTGGGGCATATTCTAGGCTCGTAGTTCTCTAATTACTGTATTATGACATATGATATTCATATATTTACAAGTTTTTGCAAGTGTGCTACAAAAAGAACGACAAGTCGACAAAAGTATCATGACAGGACTAGCGATGGGGATTAGATGTTGCTTGTCTATTTTTATGAAGTTTTCAGCTGATCATGATCCGAAATATATTCTCATGTTCATGGTAAGTGAGATTGGAATATATTCTACTAATGATACAGTGAAGTTGTTGTCACTTATTCACATTAATCAACATATTTACTCAATGCACTCATTGTCAATCCCCAGGAGTGAACCTCGGCTAGTAACCTCAAGCGCTATTGAAAAAACGACAAACCTTACCACCAGCTTTACGGAAAGACTACTTACTTACTTATTCCACAGCATATTCTCCCAGACTATACATACCTGCCCAGGTTTATCTCAAAAGACACCAACTACCGAATGCCCTTGTTGTTCATTCTTGAACAGGGACCTGCAGATGGGGCACAGAAGAGAAAAAGATAGAGAGAAGTAAGGCGACTTATATATCTTCACATTTGGTATAGTAGTACAAGTCAGAGTCATCTGTTAAAGAGTGAATCCCAACTAACCACCGGATGACCGCAGTAATGGGGATTAACATATTAAGCATAAGTAAGTATATATAAGCCACCATCTTCAACCCTATGTAAAGGGTTGCAAGAAAGCGAAGCCAGGACTATATATACCTAGTAAACCAAGCCTACATAGACACCTCATACATAATCATCTTCAAAAATAGCATTCGTATACACGGAGAACCGAACACCAAGATCAGTATGTAGTTCAAATCCATTCAATCGCTAGCACATACACACTCAGCGTACACACTACTTACTTACTACCTTGATATATTAATTTCCATACACGGCACTGTTTCTCAATCATCATAGAAAAGAGAACAGTAAATATCGACCTATAGTATCCACATACAACAATCTGACTATCCACATACAACAATCTGACCATCTACCCTCCGATATCCAATAAGCCTCCCTCCCCGCCCTAAGTTTCTCAAGTGTAGAACCACAATCAGACCCAAGCCATCGCTTTTCGTCCCCTTACCAGCGTGCTATCTTTAACTCTTCTCTTCAATATCCTTTCCACAAAAGTCTCTCTTTCTCTCTCTCCCTATAACAACCCCTCAGACCCCTCAAGTCCCATCGTCACTCCTTTCACATCAGCATCCCATTTATACCCACAACCCATCCTACAACACCAATCCCTCGAATCCCCCCATCCCCCCCTCCCCCCATCCAAAACTTCCACACTGCACTCACGCAATACAAAAGCTACCTAGTACCTACCCCCCATTCTCCCAACTTTTCTCCCCACCACAACCACAACCACACCGCAACCCCAGCCCTCCCCTCAAAATCAAAATCAAAAGCGTCTCACAAATCCGAGCAACATACCTATACTCACAACACACCCACACCTACTACAACCACAAAGCTATGCCATCGAAACAGTCTTCACCAAACCATCAAACCTAGCCTCCATCAAACCCTCAAACCCTCAAACCATCCAGCTTTCCAAGCCCCCTGAACTTCACCCCTACCCTCACCATATCGTCTTCCCTTTCCCTCCAACAGACCAAACAGACCAAACAGACCAAACAGACCAAACAGACCAAACAGACCAAACAGACCAAACAGACCAAACAGACCAAACAGACCAAACAGACCAAACAGACCAAACAGACCAAACAGACCAAACAGACCAAACAGACCAAACAGACCAAACAGACCAAACAATACCCCTCCCTCCCCCCCGCCCCCCCAAAAAACACAAACTTTCAAACATCATATCCAAAATCCAAAATCCAAAATCCAAAATCCAAAATCCATTTCCCCTTTCACCTTTCCCCTTTCCCCTTTCCCATTTCCAAAACAAAACAAATCATCTCAAAAAGTAAAATATTCCATCTAATTACTTTACATAGGGATTTAACATAATAATCTATTATAATCCATTATCATCTATCATTACCTACCTAGTACTTAAACTACTACAAACTACCACATATATAAACAAACTATCGAATCCTCCTTGGAACTCGAAAGCTACTCTACTCTACTCTATACAAGAGCGATTCTTCACTTCACATCATTCATGCATTCATTCATTCATTGCATTCTCGAATCCTATCGATACTTCCGCAAACGATACGATACGAAAAGGGAATAAATAATACACAGACAGAAGCAAAGCACTTGCTTGCTTGCATTTGCCCTCCTTACCTCTCATCAAGACAATTAATCACATCATATTCACACATCTACACATCAGCCGATAAATCAGACGAAAATGAAGTGAAATCCCTCTTCGTTTTGAACTACTATCAACTGTACTCATTCAACATCTAATCCATTCTCCCCTCCCCAAAGTTAAATCTCATCGTCACCCTTCCACATCACCCACTCAAAATGCCACCGTAAAGAAGAAAAACCACCCCAACCAACATTCAAGAGAAAAAAAAAGTCCGCGAGGGGGGCCGAACAAGGCTCCACCATTAATACAAATGCCCTATCCCGTTCCATCACCCTCAACTTCTAATTGCCTATCCAATCCTCCAAACATAAAGGGCAAAAGGCGAAAAAGCAAATTTTTTGAAGTCAATCAGGATATCATATATTCGCCAACCATTCATCGACCGCCCATCAGCTCTTCTAATGTGTTCCATGATATCCTTATCAAATCCAATAGTGATACCAAATCCTCCCAATCTCCTCCACGGAGAGCCCTACATCTCATATATGTAAAGAAGTTTTTCCATCTCCACCTAACCTGAGAGAAGAGAAAAAAGTAAATTGAAAAAAAAAGAAGGGTTGTGCTATGGCTCAAAATATAGAAGAACAAAATAGCCAAAGGTCGCGATTCGCAAATATCAACTTTTGCTTGCTGCAAATGCTGACATATGATGCGGTCAAAAAGCGCTCAACGATTCAGAAATTCTTGCTGTGCTTTGCTTTGCACACCATATATCCAGGTGTGTGCATTAATCTATGAAAAGCCCCCAAATTCAAAGAAGAACATGTATTCCAAAGTAAAGGTGATATAATGGTTCCATGTGCTCTATCAACGGAAGCAAACATATGCGACCAGCAGAAAAGGTCATTTCTTGCCATGTTCACCCAAAACGCCAAGAGAATAAAGCCAATTTCTTTGCTCCATGCAAAGATTGCGGCGCCAACATCATGTTTTGAGTTCATTATTCGTTCATGATTCAACTTTGTGAAGATCATGATAGTGCCTTCTGAGCCTTTTCTTGTGCTCGGGCATTGCGTGCAGATCGTACTAAAGGTGCCAATTGTATGAGGTCTGTGCATTGTTTCATGAAATCGTGCTACAACAGATGATTTATTAGCCTCGGTCAATATTGATGTGGTGAAGGAAAGTATTTACCCTTAACAAATCATGAGCACTAGCTCGCTTTTCTGGGTCGACCTTGAGAGCAAAGTAAAGGAAATCCCGGAAAACAACGCTCAATTCCTGTTCGTTCTTGATAGCAGGAGTGCCATTCGTTGCGATTAAGTATAAA